ACAAAACTATGGTGAAAATCAATCAGTTGTACGTCATTATTGTTTAGAGTTACTTTTGTAGACACCTGAATCTTTTAGACAAATTTAATCAATATTTTGACTGAATTCGCTATCACAACTATCTATGATTCACATGTCTAATAGTACAGTTTTGATGAAAGTTTATCACCCTCGCCGCCCCCCCCCCCCTCACTAAGAATTGATTGCAAATGTATTATTGTAAAGGATTATGAAGATAATCAGATGAAAAATATTTTCAGACCCATTCGATACAACATATAGGCATAGAACCTTCAATACGACATAACTACAGATATAAACATGGGAAAATTATTTCTTGCATGGTAAATATTTATTGATGATTCAATTGTGAATCATATCAGTGATTAGATGTGATCATTAAGATTATTGTTTTAATTATCTCATTTCAAGTCAATAAATCTAATTCAACCTTTTCGATATGATTTTATTTACTTGATTCTAATTATTAGATATTTGTTTTTAAAAAAAACGTTTGAAAATGTCAACTTCAAATACAAAGTTTGTGTTTATAAGACACAATTCAGTGAATACACACTATGGCGAAACAAATGACATCATTATTAATTCTTTCACAGATAATAATAATAATACTAAAATGAAAGAAAGAACTTTACGGATTTCGGTCTTTAATACAGCGCATTGAAAAAAATTGTTATTTTTATCTAATTAAAGAAATTTACTGTATATTGTATTTATACATTTATTTATTCCTAGTCAGAGCTGGTCTCCAACGAACTTATGATTTGTCATTCATTTCTATTAATATTTGTTCAAATTTGCCTTGATAAAAATAACAGTCCTCACTCTGTAAATCAATACATTTTTTCACAGAAGGTCCTGGGTTCGACTCCTGCGAGTAGCGAGAATCGTGGATGCATGCAACCGATGAGTCCCATACAAGACAAAACGGTCGTCCAATGCTTCCAGGTTTCTAATAATGGTCTAATAATGATCGATTCTCAATTTCAAAGTTAATATGATTGTGGAAATTAATTTTATTAATCTGTGAATTAACCCCAAGTTTTTTCCTTTGAAAATATTCACTACCAAAATTAAAACAGGATACTATTCAAGATGCTTATACGTATAAATTATCAATGTTATTCATCATTTTTATCACAAATTTAATACTGGTTTATGCATTAAACAAATTAATTTTAATTTCTGTTATGATCATTTATTGAAGTAAAATCTGGCGAATTAAAATCCTAGATTATCCTTAAAGACAGTTTTACAATCATCAAATTATATGAAATGCAATACAAACCTCCACTCGCAATTCGTCAGCAGTAATAACTTGGTTTGTATGCAACCGAAATAAGTAAATCCAAAAAGAGATATATAAGGTAATTTACAACAGAATACAATACGTTATATGACAACTACAGCTATTCAGAAATGATTATATCAGACAAGTTATAATGAGAATACAGAAACTGTTAGATCAAGATAAAAGTTCAGTGGATACAACAGAATTCAGAATAACTGTTGTGGGTGTTAAGATGTGACTGCAAGAGTAAGTAAATTAAATATTATCAGCTCAAGAATAGATCACAAATCTACTTCACACTAAATGCCCCAAATTTAAGGAAAATGAAATGCATTACTGAATATTAATAAGTAGTACAGATCAATATGTAAAAATGGAGTGCGATAAATTATTGAATTAAGAATGTAAGCTGTTAGTTTCTATGACATCATCCATTAAATGAATACAACTAACCTTAAAGGTATGTTAGAATCTTTTTCGTTCAATATCTTTCTCATAAAGTGGACAAAGATTTGATAACATGTCATTCTGTTGTAATTATGATTTTAAATATATAGAACTAAACGAAACAACGTATGTTCATAGTATTCTGCTCAAATCTTTGTTCTCGCTCACTTCAAGATGATGAAATAAGTTGCATGAAATTAAATTCTTGCATATACCTTATTATCGTTTTACTGAGATAAATAACCATTAAGAGCCATAAGGTTTTATATTATGCCTGACAACAATCACAAAAAAGTAAATAAGACTTCTCTGTTTGAAATGATTGTATATGAACGAAACAATGTCAGGCATATAATAAACTCAACAGTGTTGGCATTATTTGAAAATGTTTGAAAATGTTGAACAGGTCCAATCATCAACCCAATCCTCAACATAATTTATGCATTGCATCGATTTGGATTGATCAGTTGAGTAGGTGAAATCAGTGTGACTGAGTGCTGGTCGATTACATTTCCTGACTTATTGGTGCTATTTTCCCACTAAATGAACGAATAAGACCAAATAATTTGTCTGCAGAATACTTGTTGGTAAACTTCTACACTAATATACAGAGTACTTTGCAAAAAATAAATATGACTGAATTCATATTGAACATCAGTGGTTGTTGAATGTGTATGTTGTAGGTCGTCCGCATACCTATAAAATGACAGCTTTATGATTAGGTTTGGTTACTATCAGTCACACAATTTACGACTTTCTAAATAATGTTTCCTTTCATCCCCATGCCAGCTGATGATTCAAATACACACATCATCACATATTTGGATTTTCAGCCAAGACAGAAAAAATGACCTTTATTTAAACCTAACAATTAGAGGACGCCAAAACTATCTCTAGAGTTAATCGGATTTTATCGATCAAGTTATAATACAATCACTAGTCTCGGTGACTGGATATTATACAAGGCTTTCGTTGACGTTAGATAGTTAAGGGCATTCGACTGAAGTGTAAGTGACTTAGGATTTAAACTAGTTGGTCATGATACTAAGTAATTCAATCTAGAATCAAATACGAGAGGAGTATCGATCCTTTCAAAACTTCATCATAATCATTAGAATCGATCAATGTGAACCACACTTAGAAACGTGAAAGTACTGGACGGCCGTTTCATCTTAGTACAAAACCTATCACCAGTACGCGTCCACTACCTTTCCTTGTCAACAAGTACCATATGGTGGAAAACCATAGAATCAGCAGTTTCTACTGACTACCTTCAACCAGATATAAAATTTGAAGTTCCACACTTATTTAAACTGTTTATCATAAACTTCCCACTAGTTATCTTCAAATTTTAATAATAAAAGCTGGATAACTCTATCATCCAACTAAATGATTTCTATACTTATTGATAAATGCTAACCAAAAATTGAACTGTGATTTGATACAAAAGTATTATTCCAAATATAAATCTGTATCTATTCCTTAATAATTTTGATGCATCTCAATGTAAACTAAATATGTTATTTTACATTAAAACGTTCGCACTACTATGAGTATATGAATACTAATCATAATGGGCTTTTATCAACTGTAAACTGGAGTGTATGTTTGTCACCCATACCTCTGTATACTTTTATTCAATGTATTGCAATACAATTAAGAATTTCTGGTTTTTCGATAGATCTCATGATTAATACATGGGGAATGTTATAAAGTTTTTTTATGACCATCTGTTTTCAACAAGTATCTACATACATATTTGATTAATAATCCACACAGTGCATTTCAGTATTTCAATTTTTAAGCATGTTTTTACAAGCTAGCTGACAATTGTACGTCTTTCTATGTGAATTTAGAAAATAACTGAGTGAAAATGAATGAAATGTAAGGCGATTATAACTGATTCAAATGATGACTGATTAAAGAAGTCTTTCTAAACTTCACTTCAGTATATTTCCGTAACCCCATAAAATGAAGTAAAGAGAGCGGAAATAATATGTTTAAATCAGGAATTCTAACTACCGCTCTCTCTGTCTTCACAGCTAAGATGTTCTATTGATGGTAGTTTTATAAAAAAGTACGACTAGTAAAAGTCTCCATTTCATTTCTTTGTTTCATTACTAGTGGAGTTGAATGCAAATCTAGGCGAACAGGTTGGTAGTAGTATTAAGAAAAAGCTGACTTACTGACGTAAGTGAAGTATCGGTAATCGTACTCTTCAAGTATAATCACTCAAATATAAGCTATTATCATTTTTACACTTAAAATTGGATAGCCTAATACACTTTAAGTGCTCCATAGGATTCACTGACTATCTAACAAAACTGCAAGCCCCTTGATTTTAATGTAGATGTATCCAATATTCTGAAAATCTTGACTAATTTCAGTACTAAATTGTTGAAAAGGAAATCGTAAACAAACCTTTATACATCACGTAGTAATGGTTAACATTTTTCAAATAAGTCAATCCGAAAATTTAGGAAAACTACTACTCATTTCCGACTTGACATCAGCCCGTCGAGAAGTAATTGACATAATGAATAGCAAATGCGGCGGAACAATAGCAGTACCAGTGGTAATGAAAAAGGCTGAATATTGAAAAAATTGGTTAAGAATGAAATATTGAGAAGCTAGGTATAATAGAATATTGAAAGTCAAAACAGATAAAGGATGCATGTATTCATAACAGTGCGATTATTTGTAAGACGACACATCAACATTTACCAGTTACTTTGTGAACTCCAACTATCAGTTACTACCAACACTCATTGATTACATAGACTAATATCATGTTTCAGTTTGTCCACCCCTAGCCCTATACAAACGAGCATTATACATCAAAGCACGTGATGTCATATTAAAAACATATATCACATACTATATCGATCAATCTTTCATTTTTACCAATTACTTTAAGTCTAACTTCAGTATTTTTTTTATTCGATTATTTCACCTTACATGAATAACACTTCTAATATTCACATTGTACTATTCAGAAGTGCCAGCAGTAGTAGTATTTATATTCTTTCCTCGTCTATATGACAATATTAAAATTAAAAGTCTGTAAAACCACTGAAAAATACTGAATTAATTTTAAAAATCTGTACAATAATATCTTTAAAATCACTTGTCAATAAAAGAAGAAATTAATTACAATAACTGAATAAATAAATCACGAATCTGTTCTACATAGTTAACACTGAATGTCAAATGAAAGTAAAAAGTAATATTCAAAAATAATTCAATTTAAATAAGGTCTCCAAACATTTTCTTGATTTATATAGTGTGAAATATTTTCTTTTTGATCATCAGTCCATGGTTTCGAGATGAAATTATCTTCAGATTTAACTAATGTATGAATGTAATTAGTTCGGTTTTTCATTTCAAATGATAAATTATGCCGATTAACATGATTAATTTGTTCAAAATCAAATGTTGTATTTTGATTTTCTACTTTACACCAACGATATTTTAATGGTAGTCGGAATGTATGAGTTTTGGATTGTGTATTGACACATTGAATACTAGATTTTCTTTCGTTTAAAATATTTGAACAAGATAATGGTATGGAACTATTTGGATTGGAATGTTGTTTCATCTTTTGATTTTGTAAAGGATTTATATTTGTTGAAGAATAAGTAGAAGGATTCGGTAGATTCGTCTGAATAGAATTCTGTTCAGTTTTATGAAAATATTTTGATGATGAATTTGAATCATTAGGTTGTAAGTTCATTGAATCTGAACTATGAGAGATAGGTTTAGCGTTCATTGTTTCCTGAGAAGTTGAACCAAGATTATGCAAACGCGACAGTAATTCTGAAACGATATGAAAGTAAATTATAATTAGTTTCTAGCTTAGTATTCAGTTTCCAAAATAAGCATCATGTTAATTTGTTATGTCAACATTAAACTACAACATTTTAGTTTCATAAACAAGGATTCACTGATTTGAGTTTAAATGTAGCCTCAAACTTTCAGTTCTCACACATATATAAAGCACCTCGAATCAGGATCATCCCAGACACGATTAACAAGTAAGTAAATCTCTGTCAGTATGAAAGGTACTCGCTGTTGCTGACACCTATTTTTTCACCATTCATCGACAATAGGTTTTTTAGCGAAATTTTCACAAAATGAATCATGATTCAACCTAAAACCATCCATTTCTTATCTATATATTAGAGCACATACCTACTACAGTATTATTTACTTTTCGGTAGGACCAAATTTTCAATTAAATTAAATAAGGTATAAATAAGATTATGAACTGGTAATTTAGAACTTGGACATACCAGGCCTGTCCTTCAGAATTTTAGCGATTCCTTCGAAGATAGTATAACAGATTCCTAGAATATCATTCTTTTCCATTTTGGAGTGTTTGGATGGCTATAAAAAGTTATTCATAAAAAAACAAGAATAAATTAACAGGGATCGTAGAGTTAAAGAATAATAAAATCTTTATTATTTAAAATTTTACATTTTCATCGAAATCATGAATCAATCAATGCTAGACCACGATCAGAAACCTGAACGCGCTGGACTGCCGTCCCGTCCTAGTATGGAACTCAACAGTATTGCACAACCACGACTCCCGCCCAAGGGACTCGAACTCAAGATCTTCGATCTTGCCCGTAAACGCTTAATCTCTCAACATTTATGAACTGACCGACCAATGACCAATTTGATTACTTAGACTATAAAACAATCACGTAATTAACATACGCTTAATCTTCAAAATACTTTCTTCAATATTTACACACGGTTTAAACTAGTTTTTTGATGCTCAACTATCCAACTGTATGTCCATCTCAGACTAAAATTTCATGCTTTTAGAAGTTTACTAATTTCTGAATAGTTTTTATTTTTGCTAATTATTACAGTACACTTAAGTTGAAAGTAAAAGAAAAAAACTATATAAAACTTGTGAAAAATTAAGTACACATATTTCAAGTGACTCTTATGATAGGATGTAAATTTTCTTTTTCAAACAATCAACTAGTTAAGAACTTACATCTTCTCCAATTAATTTCATAGCTAAACTATGCAATGCATTCATTTTATCTGAAATACAAGCACGACGTTGTCGTTCTGTATTCCGTTTCTTTAACTGAAAATAAACATTTAAAAAAAAAACACGAATCAAATATCTTATATATTGAATATTTTATACACTTTAATGAAATAATATAAAAAGAGATGTGAATAATTTATGTACAAAATCTATTTCTAGATACATTAAACAAACTGGAGATGGACATGAAAAGAATGAATAGCTATTGGGTAGAACCGGAAAAGAAGGCACATGACAGAGTTGGTTGGCCTATTCTCCACTACGAGTGACAGGTGTAAGTAAATATCATAATAGTTGAGCTGACTAAATCACTGTACCTTGTGAAAGGTATTACTCATTAGTTGAACACAAAATCGATTAGGTGATAATCCTTTATACCCTTTTCTGCTCATAGTGATATTTACATGTAGGATTACATTAAATCAGAACACAATTAAAATATTCACAAAATTACTAGTTGAACTAAATTAGTTTCATAACTGAATCTACTATTACAGTAATCAATTTAATGTTCTAATTAATTATTTTAATACGTAAAATAACGAATTCGATTAAAAATTAATTTTAAAATGATGATCAAGAGAAATTTTATACAAAAGTACTAAATATTTTACTTGTAAAATTTAAAAATTCTTTATAAATTTAAATCAGTGATTCATGATGCGAAAAGTATCGTTTAAATTTACTAAAATTTTTAATGATCAAATGCTTAAATAATAATCCTTTTATTTAATAAGTTTTAAATTCAGTTTTCGAAATTTTATCCTAAAGAAATAATCTTTTTACTGTCTATCAAGATTGAGAATGAAATAAGATCAGTTGCAGTGGATAATGGTCACAAACTAATTGAATTTGGAACAATAGATCATCGGATATCGACACAGTCGTCTAAAGGTATCGCTTTTTCTCTGAGATCAACATAAGAAGTTATCGACCGATCAATCTCACTTCATGCAAACCTGTATCAAAATCTAATTCAGTAGTTTCAGTGAGTATTCACATTGGAAAGAAATCGTATTATTACACTATAAATTGCAAATTATTCCTGGTTAGAACACCAGTTGAAACTTCAAAGTACTGAACAGCCATTTCATCCTAGCATTGTGCATTCACGCCATCGTACATGCGAACCTTTAACATCTAAACCACTGAGTCAGCAAGCAATGTTTTTAGCGTCTAATTTCACTCAACCCTTGGTCTTGCGCAATCATTCATCTATCGCCCGAGCTGGATAACTGTTTCAAACACCATACAGACTGAAATCTAGTTGTCACAACTGAGGAGACCCATACTAGGACGACCGTCCAGTACTTGCAGGTTTTCAGTGGTATTCTTGACAAGATTAGTTTATGACTTAAACTGTAAAAATACCCCTATAGTAAATAGTAGTTGCTAAAAAAACCGAGTAATCGATATGAAACAGATATGATATCCATAAATAATAATTTATATTTTGACTAGTTTCTCAAAAATAGTACACCACTATACAAATATACATATATATACATACAATGTAATAAAACATAATATTTTAGTAAATCCTAGATTTGTTATCTTACCCGGCGAACTTCCTCACGGATCTCCGGCGGTATTGTTGACCGCCTGCCTCGACGACTGGGTAAGCTGATCATCATAGAATTTCTAGAAATAGCGAAGTTTTGGCTTGGTAATGTTATATTATGCGATTCTCGTTTTATGTCCGTTGTGGCCAACCCTTCAAACTCTGAATTTGTTACAGGGAAGTGATTTGTAATGGCAGTATGAACTGGTATCATACTATTTTGATGAAACTGTTTTGAGCATTCCCTCATTTCACCTTATTTATACAGTTTCGAATCTATTCTTAACCAATGAGGCATCAAAAGCCACATGAATAGTATAACTGAACGGCGCATGTAATTTTACTGACCAATCAAAATTCGACTTATTTATAGCCTTGCGCTTACACATGTGATCCAACTGACTATTGCCCTCATAACGCTCACTATCCTTTAGGTCACTTCCATTTCACTCAATGAGCGGATTAAATCTAACTTTCTTCCCACCATGGTATCAAAAATTAGTTTAAAAAAAAAACATGTTTTTACCTGTTTGTCAATTTGGTCACAATTTATACACTGATTTAATATGAAAAATAAGACAAATAATATTGAATGGTAAAGGAATACAAATGAAATCCAATCCGATAAGATATTAGTAGCGCTCATGCCAATTTTTACTAACAATAACAATCTGTAAAACAAATCTGTCATTTTGATTACAAATTAGAACAGTTTGTATTTTGCTGAAATCACATACAGATTTAAGTTTATAGCCATCAAAAGACAGGAAACACTTGATGGCTTTCTTGTCCTAATATGAGACTTCTCACCAGTGAACATGCAGGACCCCGCACACGGAAACTGATCCCAGAACTTTCGGATTCGCATGAGATCGTTTAACCGCTAGACCACTGAGTCGGAGCCCAGAAATATACATGTCCATGTCTGTCCATGGTGTTGCGTAGACAGCCGTTGTTTTCAGTGGGTGACTTCCTATCTTCTTAATAACTCCGAAAATTCTAGTTAGTTGCCATGGTAACTAGAGTATAACGATGGAATTATTTTACGTTTGACATGAAGTATCAGTGAGTAACTAGCAGGCGAATCCAGCCAAATTAAAAGAGAGATGTATCCTAGAAAAAATTCAATACGTGTCTCATTATACTATCAATCATCTTCAGTCTGTGTCAGTTCCTCGTGAAAAGCAACTTTAAATTAGGCGATTGTCTACAAACTTAATGAATAAGCAGTAAACATATTATTATCATTATTTTTATTATTATTATTATTATTATTATTATTATTATTAGTAGTAGTAGTAGTAGTAGTAGTAGTAGTAGTAGTAGGAGGAGGAGGAGGAGGAGTAATGATAATAATAATAATAATAATAAATTATTAATGAATCAAATATTTGAAGTATAATAACTGAAGGATTTTTGCCTAATCAATTTTTTGTCTAAATTATGTTCAATACCCTTTACAGTGAGTTAGTAAGTCCAACTATTCTGAATGAAAAAGTCACGAAATACCATGAATAAACACCAATCTACCTACAAAACATGTACATGTTAAATAAATGTAACACGTATGGGATTTCCGTTTTTCATGATTCAGTCAAAACAGTCTTTTTATCGTCTTTCAAACTATTTACAGATCTGTCATCATAAGATATTTAATTGAGATTTGGGTAGTTAAAGTTAACTGTTAGAATTAAATTCAAAATAGTGTGGTGTACTTTCCACATTCCTGTTTCTCTGAAATCAATATGTATTTATTATAAAAACTTACTGAGTTAACCCGCCCACTCTTAGCTGTAGAAATTTCAGTTCGATTAACACGACTCTCTGAAAACTATTTTAGAACAAATTGAAAGACATTATCAAATATCGAACAGAGGAACTTCAGTCTCGCCAGCACCTAATCTTTAGACCACAGAGCCGACATCCAAAGGTGTTAATGTCTAACTTCAGTCAGATAAGGGTATTGAGCAACCGCACCTATCGTCTCCGATCGGTAGTTGCCTCACAACCGACTAGGTTAAACTGCATTGGTCGCGGTCTCGCACCAAATTTTTTATTATTCTGTCGCTCTTGTTTAGCTATTAATAACATTAAATAATTATAAAATAATTAATAGAATTTATGAATTACAAAAATTAGCGATGTTGTATACCATAAACAAGAGTCTTTATAACATAAGACGACAGATACTTTTGATTTGTATTTCACGTAACATATAACCAGTCAACATTATTTAAAAAGTTTAGATTTACCAGCTGAATTTGCATGGAAGAACGCCTACTCAACATTACGATGAACAAACACAACATAAAATTTCAAATAACTGATGAAATATCATCATCGATTCTACTGCTAACCGTCTACTTGTGGTAGGAAATAAAATATCATCCTGGAGCCCACAATTCATTACTTATAGATTCACGCGATTATTCACTTTGTATTCAACAGTTTTATCAACTCCATACTTCACACTTCATTCTTCACAATTCTCCTCAATCTACTCAGCCACATTCAATTATCAGCTCATTATAATTCACTGACACATTACAACACTCGCTCATTCAATCTCGAAACAAGTTGATGCTTGTTCTCTTACATTTGTGATCAGACAACTCTCAGTCCAAAATATAACTAACTCAATACAAACATTCTCGTCTCGTTGCACTAACACAATACCACTACACAAAATTGGTGAGATATCCAACTCAAAATGAAACATTTTATTTGCATCGATGCCAAGTACTTTTATCACTTGTGATTAATGTGTAGGATGGTGAATTACTGTGACTTGACTGGGAAAGTGAAATGAGATTAATGATTGTGTGTGAACGAGATACTCACTGACCTTCATAAAACAGTTCAAGTGAATATTTATATTAACAATGACTGTGGCCAAAATTAATTTGTGTGAGTAGATTACTTCGAGCGAGCATTGAATTTTGATGATTGTGCAAGAATGAGTTACAATCTTGTTCTTTAATTATGTGTGATTCTGTTGTGTGTTTCATATGAAGTGATGTGAATGTTCATACTAAACGAATATGTGTATTCTTCAAGTTTATTATCTAAGTACTTATAAACGTATTCATGATTGTTATTTGTAAACATTTACGTTTACAGTCTATTCACACAAAATTTCAAGCATAATTACAACACAGAAAATCGAATTAAATGTGTCTATCTTTTTCAAGACATGCTGGAAGCAATTACAAAACATTCAACCCGCATTGAAATTTGTACTAATAAATTTCCCCCGTAACATTGAACATCTGATATATCTTCTAATTTATCAAGATTCAAAAATTTAATTTTATCATAACATCGTGATCACAGACTAGCAGATACTTCATGTCAGTCACATAAATAATGCATATTGCGCAAGCCATTTTCAAATAGACTGATTAAAATTATTACCAGTCACTATGGTTACCGTGACACTGTATAATTATAATAATAGATCGTAGATCTCATGCTGATTTTAAAACCGTATACTTTGTATTGTTATTAATGTTTGAGTCAAGAATAATTTATGCGAAATGAGGATTAACTGATGCATACTATAGTAACCAAAACTATTATGATAAATATTTAAGTGTAACTACTGGGTTGAGAATCAATACAATTTGTCTAAAATATTTAAAAAAATTTATTACCATTGAATGTGCAGTTAATTGGAACAAAGTGTTTTTGTCCATTGTCATAGTCGAATCAATTATTTGAACCACTTACTTCCATGAAGCCTGTTGAAGTATGGATTTCCATAGTTCTTTTCATAACTTCTCACCAATATCGTTTCTTTTATTATGTGAAAACCAGGTCATATTAAATATTGTTCGATGATATAACACTTTCTATTGAAACTGTGTTTTCTGTTGCTGTTGTTGTTATAAATCTCATTCACTGATACAAGGTATAGAAACCTTAATCATTGTTTTTACTTATGGATATTACTTATGAAAGTGTATCTATTATCAACAGGTCGGATGTGAAAAAGAACTGTCACTGGATCGTGTTAGTGATATTTGTTCAGTACTAACTGATGATGTAAATAAAAGGACCACTCAGAGCTTTTAAACTACCATCAACTCCTGACTAGATATTTACACTGTACACAAATAAATAAATCTCATAAACATTACCTGCGTTGGATACCAACTCAGTAGTTTAGAAGTTAAATGTCTGCTCATAAGATCGAAAATCGTGGGTTCCACTCCTGCCAGTGGAGACGTGGATGTGCACTTCTGAAGAGTCTCATACCATAAATAAGTGCAGTTTATCTTAAATAGAACAGAATCAATCATTAGTTGATTAACATGTTATTTTAATACATTAAGGAAGTAATAGTATAAGGAAATTGTGCAACACATTATGAATGAAATACAAATTTAAAGAGTATTACTAAATCAATGAACGACAGTTGTAAGTAGTTTTACGTCAATTAAAACCTTTGGAAAATAAGGATGAAATCGGAAATAGCAATTTAGCATTCTCACTACTTTTATTGTTTTCACATGGAAAGATTTCAGAGTCAGGTTGAATCAACAGTCAATATAAATGCTAAAATTCGTTCAAGTTGACACTTATCCTATAGAGATAGATTGAATTTATAGAGTTTATGGCTAAAATCTTGGACTTCATATTTCAACTTTTCGGACCATTTAAGGCTATAACTACCAGTAATATACAAGTATTGGTCACCGAATAGAAAAACATGTCATCTTTACTTCATGTTTGTCCTGAACAAATTCTACTGATTATTTCACTCAAATTTAAGTAACCGAAAAGCGGGATAAACTACATTTGACATAAGATATTTGGAGTAAGAAGACAATTTGTCCATGATTTGTCTGTAAAAAGTGAGACAGTCCATCCCAAAAAGTGGTTTATAAGTAGGAATCTAATTTAATATGGTTTCAAGTGACACGAGTCATAAACAGACATCAGCTGCGGTACTACTAAAAACTAAGGTGCACTTGCAGCGTAGTAAAGAACTCCTCGGTAGTGTACACCCACGACTCCACTAGTGAACTAGCCTACGAACGCTTAGCCCTTGGACTCTTGAGTTGTAGACCATTCGTACATGCTTCCAATGTCAATCAGTTAGCGATGTAGAACAACCATGACCAAACATTTTGATAACAACTCATGACATAACGGGATCGTGAGTCTGCACTGTTGAAAAGTTTCATACTGTGACAATTTGAAATCTTCACG